TTTTKGKWWWAWTTGTAAAAGAAGTGAGACAGGAATTGCTTATYYCATCAATAGTTTTTCCATCACTTTTTGCTTCTATCAACAGTGCARCAAGACTAACAAAACAATGAAACAAAGAAGACATCAAGACAGACAAGACAAACCAACAGTGAGGCAAATACTCAAGACAACAAGGTGAACATGACTGAGAGATGGACAAAGAGAACAAGACAGAAAAGATGAATAACAAGATGATGATCAACACAGTAAGGCAAAAAGATAGCAACAGGAATAAAGTAGATGAACAATCAATTACTAGAGAGAAAAAAAGAGACAATTGAGACTAACAGACCATCTGAAGGCCACCAACAATGCAGCATAAAAAATGAGACAGCAAAGTTACATCACCAAAAATTGGAACAACAATCTCATGATGGTGAATTTGTGAAAACAAATACATACATACTTGTGCTAAAATATGCAAATTTTCAACAACAACAACAACAAAGATATTGAAAAAGATAAAGATACTAATATGACAAATATACATAATGATATTAATATTTAAAAGGATATGTGGCAGCAATTCCTGAAGTAAGGAAAGGTCCTAGTAAAGGTTTCTTGAAGTGATCAGGAAAATGTCTTCTGCCACTGTCCACCAATACAAAGTATGTACACATCAGACCCATAGTTCGGCACCAGGTTACCCCAAAACCCTAAAAAAATGGTTAAGGAATTAATACTAGCAATTGCTTGGTAAAAGATATGTGGGTCAGCAATAGGTACATGTTGGTTGTTTCTTATTTTATAGAAGGAAAAAGGACGGTTGATACTTATTCCATGATCAAGAGTAATGCTTATTTGATTATAGCCTGTTATTATGACAAGATAAAAAATAACTTGTTTGTACTAAATATTTTSGACATTAACATGACTTGTACAATCATTACTAATTGTCAATGTTCTCAATTGTTTGCAAAATTCCTTTCAAAGTCTCAATTAAATAGTATAAATAGTATGAAATTAAAAGCAATTTTAATTCTGAAAGTTGACCAATCATTTATGTGACTGAATGTGATACTGAATAAAAATAAGAAATAAAGAATAAAATTCCCAAGAAMGGATGAAGCAAGGCTTTTCACCTTTGAACAAATATTGAGTAACATAAAAAAAAAACAGAACAAAAAAATATCAAAGACAAAAAAATATTGTGTATAAAAAAATCTGCTTACCACCCCATTCGTTCCTAAATGATTATTCATGAAAGTGAGAATTAAACAACTAGTGTAGTGTGCTTTAATCCATTGCAATTAACTGTTGTTGCAATTGTTTGTAGGCTACCTGTGACGTAATTCTGCTATGTATATTCATGTATATTCATGATATTATGATATCGTAAATTTACTTCAATTCAATTCCCAAAGGTAATCTGTAAGAATATATAGCTTTAGCACATTACTAATGAATTGCTTGTAGTTTGTATGGACCGAAGGACTCCGTGTGATTTATTACAGTTTCTTAACTGTCACTTACTCTGTATAATCCCTTAAATTGCCATGATTGTCCAGTTTGTCTTCTTATCTTTGAAATTAAAACAGTATGAAATGATAAGATCAAGCACAAACCAAAGCAAAATATAGCAAAAGCATCACAAAAAMTAAACACAATCWAGCACAGCACAAGAATAATTTTTCATATAAAATGTCATCTTTCATTGTTTGCTTTGTTTTTATAACAAAATACAGGAAACCAGTTTCTAGTTTTTAGTCAAACTTTTTTCCGCCCACAGAGTGCTTTTAGTCATTGAAGAGGTAACATGAACTAAATTAGATACATGTAAGTTATTTACCTTTTTTAGGTAACATCAYATAAACAATTTGAAAATTCACTGACATGTATTGCTTTTGAAATTCAGGTGTCTTTTATTGTATTTTCAGGTCAATGAGATTGTTAATACAGTCACAAGAAGTCTGTGTTTTTCATAAGTAGGAACATTTTTTATTCTCCTCTGCAGGTGATTTCACCTAAACAACTAACTAAAATGAACACCTTTGCATAGCTATTTAATAATAAGACTAAAAGCACTTTAATTAATAACACTCATCAATCATTGTACACTCTTTTCATGCARTACTACTTCAATTTGTGATATAACAGTTTCATAGTCACCTTGGCTAATTCTAAAGGTGTTTCAATGATTGCTCTTGTAGTTGAAGCAAATGCACCTGCTACCAATACTCGTCTGATAGAAAAACATTAATTGTCAGATAACAACAGCTAAACATTATTAATTGATTACTTTAAAAATGGTACTAACACTTGYAGTCCTGATGTGAATGGAATTTCCTGGACACCACGTCTTGTGTTCATCATGGTATATCTTAAAATGGGTATTGAAAAAATTTGTC